CAGGAAATCCCCATAATCGATAAATTTATATACTATATAGCTTGTAAAAGAAATAGCTCAATTTATTTTAAGATTTGGGCGTTCTTTGAATTGAATTGACCATTTTTTTGTTTAAAATGTTGATATTTCTTTATCAGTTTGTAATAACATGGGTTGGAGGATTTTTGGGTTCGGTTATATTGTTTTGGTTGAGATTTTAAAACTAGATTGACCATATAGATCGCAGTCTCATCCGTTCTGCATTTATTTGTTTTTCTTTTTTTCTTATTTGTTTGATAATACCATTTTCTAATTTGATAATGCTTTTGATCGTTTTTTGAATAGTCTTTTTAGTCGTTTTTTGGTGTAAATGTTCCCCTCTTTTTCATCACTGTGGAGAGGTTTTTATTGGGGTTATCTCTCTTTTGTTTTTCTAATCTCGTATTATCAATGAAATTGTTTCTTCTCATTATTATTATTATATTTTTTTTTGTTATTTGTTTTTCTATCTTCATAGTTTATAGACTTATAGTACATAGTTTCTTAACAAGTTTAGTACAAAACAACAATTTTTATTTTTGGTCTCAAAAAATAACATAAAAAGCTTTTTTGGTACCATTTTCTAATTTGATCGTTATGTTGGTTTAACCTTTATAATGCCTTCATTTACTAAAAATTCTTCTATTAACCTTTATAATGCCTTCATTTACTAAAAAATTCTTCTATTAACTAATCAGAAAAGAGTTGCAAGAATGTAAGGAGAGAGAGAGAAAAGAAATGAAGCGTGGAAAGAGAAGTCAAGTCTATAAAATTGTGCTGAAAAAGGGTTAAGAGATGGCATGTATTGAAGAGAATGAGAAAAAAAATGTATGGACAAATAGGTTACTAAAAGAAAGTATATGCAAGAAAGTAAAATTTATATGGCTTGGCATAGTTATGCAGGATGATTCTATTATGCTGCTTATGCACTGCGTCGGGTTTGAGAAATGAAAGTTCATGAAATCTTCCATAAACTAGTCTCGGGTATCGACTAGTCTTTTAGAAAATAAGTCTTTTAACTTATGAGAGTTATTTGCAATCAGTCTCATAGTTATTTTTTGATTGAAGATAGGAGTGCAGGAGGATTTTCTTATGCTCCTTATGCATTGCGTCGGGTATGTAACTAGTTTCGGGTACCGATTTGTAGGAACATCCATATTTAAAYAGGCCATGGTTCAAATTACATCCTTGTGGAACCAGGGAATGGGTGAAGCTACTCTTCCTTGGTGATGCTTGTGGAACCAGGGCATGGGTGAACCAGGGAATGGGTGATGCTTCTTGGTGTAAGAATGAAACAATACCAATGGAAAGATATGTTGCAGCCTGGCTTTCAGYTGTGGGCCAAGTAGTTGGCTTCAAGATTCCAATGGAAATGTTGAAAGATGACAGCGGCAGTCAGTTGTGATTCTGGAACAAAGCTAAAAGTACTTTTAAAAACTTTAAAAATATCATAAGATTGCTTCTATATGAAGCACTTAGATTAATATTCTTTTCTAAAGTGTTTCTAGGAAAGTCTTTTATTTGACAGGGCGTTTGGCCTATAATCGGGTAGGGTCGGTTTGGGTAGTCCACCCCGTGTTTGAAGCATGAGTTTAGCAACATCATGCTTTCTGAACCTAACCCGCGGAGCCTATTCAACCCCATAGGTTATACTTTTTTTTTAATTACATTATCATTTTTCTATTATTTTGTCTCAATTTTATCAATCTCGTACCAAATATATGTTTTATAGTTCATTTGACACTTTTTCAACCATTATTCAAATGAAAATCCATCTTTGTTTTAGTGCAACTAATGAGGATAGGGAGATTTGGACACATGATATGATAGGTACCGATAGTCGTTGAACTAAATTCATGTCGACAATCGAAAACCTATCACATAATAAAGATCGTAACACTCCTTGACGATTAAGGTGAAAATTACAGCACTTTTTTTAAAGTACAGTTTGATGACAATTTTGTGGTCCAATAATTATTCAATGGCATTTAGTAATGGTTATTGAATGAATGCTATCAAACAAAATTGATACTCCAATAAATTATACTAATATTAATTGAAAACTAGATTAGCACATCATTCTATGAAGGCCAATGTGTGAATTACACAGATAAATAAGACCTTTAAAAAAATGTAAAAACAAGAGACATTAAAGACATTGAGTTTCTACAGGACAAGTTGGTTCTATTCTCTGACATCACTTAGCAGTAATTGTCACCTATTTCTTCTTTTGAGGTCGGAAGTTCGAACTCCATATTTCCAATGTGTTAGTATTAAAAAAAAAACTCCCATTTGAAATTAATCTGCATCTGCACTTGAAACTGCAGTTGTCCTCTCAAAGCAAGCCAAGAATTCTGTATTACCCTCAGCCCCCTTCATTGGTGATTCAATCCAACCTCTGCTGCAGAATCCAAAATTCTCCACACCTTTTATGATCTTCTCAACAACCTACACCATTCATTTTTCAAACATAGATTTGAGGTATTCATCCTATCAATCTTTAGAATTTGAGGAAAAACTCGAGGACACAAGTACAACCAAAAGAACGGATCCTATTTAAATAAGGTCGTATGATTCAACGTATCAATAAATGTGCTAATAACAAATAGAGGAAACTAACATCACATTATCTTAACAACATATATAAACNGTCGGGTATATAACTAGTTTCGGGTACCGATTTGCAGGAACATCCATATTTAAACAGGCCATGGTTCAAATTACATCCTTGTGGAACCAGGGAATGGATGAAGCTACTCTTCCTTGGTGATGCTTCTTGGTGTAAGAATGAAACAATACCAATGGAAAGATATGTTGCAGCCTSGCTTTCAGTTGTGGGCCAAGTAGTTGGCTTCAAGATTCCAATGGAAATGTTGAAAGATGGCAGCGACAGCCAGTTGTGATTCTGGAACAAAGCTAAAAGTACTTTTAAAAACTTTAAAAATATCATAAGATTGCTTCTATATGAAGCACTTAGATTAATATTCATTTCTAAAGTGTTTCTAGGAAAGTCTTTTACTTGACAGGGCGTTTGGCCTATAATGGGGTAGGGTCAGTTTGGGTAGTCCACCCAGTGTTTGAAGCATGAATTTAGCAACATCATGCTTTCTGAACCTAACCCAYCCGTGGAGTCTATTCAACCCCATAGGTTATACTTTTTTTTTTTTAATTACATTATCATTTTTCTATTATTTTGTCTCAATTTTATCAATCTCGTACCAAATATATGTTTTATAGTTCATGATTAAGGTAAAAATTACAGMACTTTTTTTAAAGTACGGTTTGATGACAATTCTGTGGTCCAATAATTATTCAATGGCATTTAGTAATGGTTATTGAATGAATGCTATCAAACAAAATTGATACTCCAATAAATTATTACTACAATAATGAAAACTAGATTAACACATCATTCTATGAAGGCCAATGTGTGAATTACACAAATAAATAAGACCTTTAAAAAAAATGTAAAAACAAGAGACATTAAAGACGTTGAGTTTCTACCGGACAAGTKGGTTCTATTCTCTGACATCACTTAGCAGTAATTGTCACCTATTTCTTCTTTTGAGGTCAGAAGTTCGAACTCCATATTTCCAATGTGTTAGTATTAAAAAAAAAACTCCCATTTCAAATTAATCTGCATCTGCACTTGAAACTGCAGTTGTCCTCTCAAAGCAAGCCAAGAATTCTGTATTACCCTCAGCCCCCTTCATTGGTGATTCAATCCAACCTCTGCTGCAGAATCCAAAATTCTCCACACCTTTTATGATCTTCTCAACAACCTACACCATTCATTTTTCAAACATAGATTTGAGGTATTCATCCTATCAATCTTTAGAATTTGAGGAAAAACTCGAGGACACAAGTACAACCAAAAGAACGGATCCTATTTAAATAAGGTCGTATGATTCAACCTATCAATAAATGTGCTAATAACAAATAGAGGAAACTAACATCACATTATCTTAACAACATATATAAACATATATAAACCATAATCAATTGAAATCTCTCTTTAACCATTAACGGGATGTTTGATAATGTTTTTGTCATTTATTTTCTGTTTTATGGAATTATGTTTTATTTATTGACATTTTCTTTGTTCCTAATCTAATTTTAAAATCGAGTTCGAAATTATAGCAAAATTTTAAAAGCTTAAAGAAATGTAATTTTCAAAGAGATTGTTTTGTTTTTGAAATTTAATTAAGATTAGTGTTTTTGAAAGGCGTAGTGAGACGTGCACCTGAGCTCACCTCATGCAAGGCGAGGGAAAACTAAGAAGGCAACCTTTAAGAGCACGCCTTATATTAAAGAGTTGAGGCACTGAAGCTCTTCTGTAATAATGTTATATAAATTTATATTTTATTAAAAAATACCATTTAAATAGAAGTGTCATTTCTCTTCACTAGAAGTTGGAGTAAGCTCTCTCTCATTTCCATCCTCAAACTCTCTCTCTTATCTCATTTTTCTTCCTCGAAACTCTCTTTCTCATTCCCCCCTCAAGTGTTCTTTCTTTCTATTTCTTTCTATTTCAATCTCTCTCTCTCTGACTCTACCTGTTTATTACTATGTAGATGGGCATATATATTTATTGATTTTTATATATAGTGTGCCTCGAAGAAAAAAAAAAACTCGCTTTTTAAGCGCCTCATGTGTAAGCCCCAATCTTGGAATTAATTACAAATCATTATTATTTGAATTGACAAGTGATTAAAATTATTTCTTTTGAGGGTAGAAATTAAATTACCCATCCTTATCAGGTGGACAGGTAATGTTAAAAAGATGTATATAGATCCTTTTTAGTGCACAGAAGATGCAAATGACTATTCTAAACTTCAGTAAGAGCTATCATCTCAAGATAATTTAAGCAATAATTCCAATTAGAAAAATTCAGTAGCATGACTTTTCTCTATAAGCAGGTAAAAATCAATAAAACACATTAAATGAAATAACAACAAAGGAAGAAATAAATGTTTACCTCCTGGTGAACTAGTGGATCTCTCACGATTCCCCCACCTCCTACCTGCAATGAACTATATCTTCAAATGGATGGTCTACATAAACTTCAWATGTCGGATATCTATATTTTGACATTCTTATTTTTCATAGTTTCATCTATTTTTACAAGATATCTGGTTTTCATGATTTTATTAGGAGATTGTAAAATGATAGCATAGTTCGAGTCAAGGCCAGCAAGAACAAAAATATTTAATCCATTTTTTTAATGAATAAACTAATATTTAATCCATTTTTTTAATGAATAAACTAACTTTCAGTGAGAAGAAATGAAATAATACACACGTGGAACAAAATAAAATAAACTAAGACGAAGGAGCAAAAACAAAGAGTAAAAAGCTAACAAACTACACAATTACAAAAAGGGATCTAGTTCAAAAGTGAGAGATAAAGGGTAAGAAATATTCAATCCATAAGACATAAMGGGGCTTTTATAGCTGGGAGAAAAATTCTTGAAGATCACCCTTTTCTCTTTGCTTAGCTACACAAGTGTCCTCTGTTTGCAGATGGTACTATCTTTTTCTGCTCCATTCAAGAGGATTCCTTTATCACCCTCAATAGTTGTCACATTTTCTTTGAATCCATGTCTGGGTTGAGGGTAAATAGGGGAAATGCTCCATCATTGGCATTAACTGTGCCCCTAGGTTGATGCTTGGGCTTCTCTTGTGGATGTGTGTGAGGTAGGTTGGTTTCCTTCTTCTTATCTAGGTCTTCCACTCAGGCATACACATAATCCTAGGGGTCGTTCCTTTTAGAACCCAGTCCTAGACAAAACTCCAGAAGCGTCTTTCGTCTAGGAATAGAGCCTTTTTCTAAGGGTGGCAGGTTGACTCTTATCCAGTCAATTATGAGTAGAATTCCGACTTATTTCCTTTTAGTGTTCGGATCTATGCAGGGGTCAGTAAGAATTTAGAGAGACTTATGAGGAAATTTCTTTGGGAAGGGGTGAAGGAAGGTAGAGGATCCCACCTAGTTAGTTGAGACGTTTTGCTAGGGTCGATCCCGTTAGGGGGTTTTGGGCATTGGTAATCTGAGACGTCGAAACAAGGCCCACTTCGTGTTCTCCTGTGAGACCGAGTCCTTGTGGCACAAGGTTATTCCTAGTAAGTATGGTTCTCATCCCTATGATTAAATTTCAGGAGGGGGTTTAAAAGGCACACTTTAGAAATCCCTTGAAAGAGATCGCAGCTGGATTTCCCTTTTTCTCCCGGTTCTTCAAATACCCAATGGGAAATAGATCTGTTACTTTATAATGGGAGGACATTAACCCCCAAGGGGCAGCCGGATTGGCAAGGACTTGAGGTCTCTTGGACATACTGRCTTAAAGATTTCAAGTTTGAACCTTCCGATGAGCTTAATACMAAAAATYTTTRATGTCTCCTAGGTCTAGCCCTTGAGRCAAGCACGRGTTCCCCTAGGTATAGGRGAGCAAAGTTTCGACTCCCAGTTATCCAAAAATAATAATAATAAKGGAGGACATTAGGTTGAGCGATAGGCCTTTTGTGTCCAATTTCCTCCCTTARATCAATTATTATCTACGAAATTTAGTCTGGTCACATTTGTTCTTCCTTCTCGAGGTTCCTCCTCCTTTTCCTTTGGTTTCAGTGACCTTCGTCTGGYAGAGAGACAACAGAGGTTGTTCATCTTCTCTCCTTGTTAGATGATCGGGTTGTGAGTCCAAGTGGAAGGGTGTTAGGCCACCAATAGTTAACAAATATACTAGGGGGGCAAGAAAGGAATTGTACTCGGGTATAGGGGAGGAATTACCGTTTTAGGTTGTGGGGCCCAGGGATCAGTGTGGGAGTGAGGGCCGAGTAGATATAGAAGGAGGTTAGGGAATATTGGGGGATRTGCTTGTTTTTGTGAGTACCTTAAGGAGGTAGAAGGAGAGCTTACCCACCCTCTCGAACAGGTGGRGTGTTTCTATATTGCCTACGGGCTTTTGCTTGAGATTCAATCAAAGTGTGAGGAAATACCTCACCATAGGGGTGTTCGTTTTTGTCCTCCTAATCCTGTGGGGGGTTTCTCCTGTGAGTCGATTCATGTATTTTTCCTCTACTCTTCAGAGCCTTGCATGTTCCCTGCTTTAGAAGGTGAAAAATTTCAAAGAAGGTTAGATTCTTTGCATAGCAGAGTGAACACYTTGTCATGTTCTGAGGCATTATTTGGTTGTTGYTGGGCCACATGGGRCGTTTAGTGTAAGATTGATGTTGAAGACTTGAACCCCATTTTATGAAACTGTCAATGCACAGACTGTTTGGGATCGCTTCTTTCACGTGGTCGAGCTTTGTTTCGCGAAATCTAGTGTTTGTTTTGAGATGATGGAAGAGGTTAATCATAATCCTCGTCCTCCCTTTTGCAAAAAGGACTGAATCATGCGGCGAACTGGTTTTTTTGCGGTGATTCGGGGTATTTGGCTGGAAAAGAACAACATAATTCTTAGGGATCAGGAAAGATCTCCCAAGATGGTGCAGTCTCTTGCTAGCTAGGTTTAACACCTCTGCTTGGGCATCTGTTACTAAATAATTTTGTTCTTATTCTCTAGATCTTATTAATCTTGTATAATTATCCTTCGACACAAATTGTGGGTTGTCTTTTTGTTTGTCCTCTTTGTTCTCTTTCATCTTTTCTTGATAACATGACTTATCGAGGAAGGTGACTCACCTGGATAATTGGGCCATCACGTCTAAACTAGAAGAGGTTGGAGGTCTCAATTAGGAAATATATGCAAAAAGAATATGGCCCTTTGACTTGTCAACAAATGGCCTTATAACGGTTATATAGGACGAAATATCTAAAATAAACTCGGTCATATTTTCTTAGAAACTCTATTAAAACATATTTCAGTATAATCTATAATGATAACCAAAAGAGCAGCCAGATAGGAACTACTAAAACACCCAAGAAGGATAAGAACTCAAAGCCTCTTACYTGTGATCTGCGACATTCAAATTGAGGTTTCACCAAAGTAACCAATGTTGACATTTCCTTCATCACACTCACGACAGCAGGCATGACCTGATACATAAACAAATGAGAGCAAGGAATGAGAGAAAAGACAAAAGCACTTAAAATGACCATTGCAAGACCTTCTGGTCAAAATCAAGACACGTCACACTAATGATCAAAATTGTACTTATGATCAAAATTGTACTAATGATAAACTATGGCTATAATAATGTTTCTAACCCTGTTATCAAGTTAGATTTAACAAACTGAAATATACATCATAGCTATTAAAACACATTTCCGCAGCCATTTGAAACCTTACCAAGAGAATAGAAATGAAAGAAAGGTCCAGAGTAACAATATCAACTTTTTGAGGAAGTCCAGCAAGRTATCTTAAGTTTGTCCTTTCCATCACACARACACRTTCATCTCGGCGAATCTTATCAGMAACCTAAAAATTCTGCAGATCATTGATGCATCACAATGGAACAGAAGAAAGTGTGGGACATATTTGCTAGTTTCCTACATAAATATTAAAGGTATCCAAAGTGAACATTGGTTATCAATTCACTGGTTTAAACACTTCTGGTCAATGAAAGCAACAGCACYAATTACCAAGTYTTTAGTTCATTGGCCTCAATGGAGATGGAGAACCAGATCCTTAATTTCTGTCACATGCATTAACTTAATGACAAACTGTTCTAAACATAAATATATTTAGAGGAGAGAACAAGGTTAATMACTTCATACTCTTTGCAGCCTGAACATACCTCCTCCTTTTCCTCACTTGCAAGCCAGTTTCAGATGGATTTACAAGTTCAAATTACAACTAACTATAAAAGTGCCCTGCTTGCACTCAAACTCCAATATCTTGAATGGTCAATTTAAATTAGATCCTTTATAGCTATATAGATAATCCCTTGTTATTGCTTTTTGTGTATATAAGAACCAATTTAATTTTAACAGAATATGACATTTCCTCAACAGTGACAGATCTCTTCCTTATTAAGATTGCCCCTCCTTTCCCAATGATAAATCTTATCAGGCACTGTTTACTTTACTTTTTGGGAAATTGAAATGATAGTAATAGGATTGAAGAAAGGGATATTGTGGAGGAGGGTCAAAAGAAGCTGAAATATTGTGCTTCTCCTTGGGTTTCTTTCTAATACCGAAGAGATTTATAATTGACCCTTGTTGCTAAATTTGATTAGTTGGATACATCTTTTGTTATCTCTTAATCCTGAGCTTGGATTTAACTTCTAGTTATCTCCCCCTCTTTTGAAGTTTCTCTTCTTCAATTCAATTACTTCTTGCATACAAAAGATGGACAAGTAAATAAAATTGCTAGTAGAACTTTCCCAAAAAACATGAGGTGTAGTGCTACTTTTATATTAGTGACATTTATTTACACGCTTATCAACTGTCAACTATATTAAGTAGATAACGAAGAATATGTATTAGAAAGAAGTTTATAAACTTTACCTGCCCATAGCCAACATCAACTCCGTAGACAAATGAAGCCCCATGCTGAAGCAAACAGTCAGTAAATCCTCCAGTGGATAACCCAGCATCAAGAGCAACTTTACCAGCAACATCAACCCCSAACTGTTCAATGGCAGCTTCCAACTTGAATCCTGCTCTGGATTTTATAAAATAAAAATAGTAAAGCAATTGATTATATTAACTTCAGAGACTTCATCTAGGCTAATGGGGATGAAGCATAGCATCGATATGTATGGGGAAAGAACAGGTAGYTTTCAGCGAAGTTTTATCACCTACATACATATTTCGGAATTTCAGCAATAATCTCAACCTTAGCTTTATCCCCAACAGGTGTTCCRGCTTTGCTGACTACTCTGCCATCTACCAACACTTTGCCTACACACAAATTTGTTCACAAAACACAGARAGAGAAAGAAATCAAAAATAAAATGAAGTTCATCATCATCAACGAATCCAATCAGGCCTACCTTGTAATATCCACGATTGTATAATTGTTCGGCTGTATTGCTGGTACCTTTCCACGCAAATCTCATCCAACCTCCTCTTCTTCTTCCTAAGGAAAACAAAAACAGCTTCATTCCCTGGAACAGACTCAAGGTGTTCGACAAAATGTCAAGAACAATCCTTACAGGTTGAGTGGCTGAATCTTTCCCGACTTGGCGACGGAAAAGCTTTTAGGAGAAGAAGCATGCGCCGGAGAGCACGATAATGGCGATAAGAGAAAAATCCTTGCACAATTGTTACGATTCAGGAAGCTCTTCGACATCATTGGGGATTTGTTTCTTCCCCAGAATTACTTTTCGCACGATTTATGTGAAGGCTACTCAGGAAAAATCTCAATCCTCGAAGGAGAATTAAACTTTCTCAAGGGGATATTGACTCAAATGATCTTAAAAATTTTTGAAAGGTTGAAATAATCCTCTTTATTTTATTTTATTGTGCCCTAATTACTCACTTGAATATTAAATTAATTTTTATAGGCAGCGAAATTACTATAGTACCATTCGTTCAAAAAATTGGACCATTCTAACTTTCCCAATTTCTCTCCATTTTTAGTCGCCGTTCCTCTTCTCCTTCTCCGTTCGTCTTCTCCTTTTCCGTTTGCGTGAGTCGTCTTCTCCTTCTCCGTTCGCGTGAGTCGTCTTCTCCCACTCCGTCTCCGTTCGAAATCGCTTGAAGTAAGTTCAATTTTTCCACTATTCCGTGGGGTTAGGGCTACGTTTTTTCATGTTGAATGAGTTTTTTTCCGTTGATTCCTGAACACCAGCACTGTATCTTGTTGACCATGTACATGAATGAGTGATTTCGCTGTCCGATTTTACTTTATTTTGTCGTTCCATTATTGGGAGGTTGTTCTGCTATGATTTCCTTCATTGTTGTTCTGCCGAAATTGATTTTTGACCTGAAATTGAGTTTTGAGGTATGTGGGAGGGAACCGTTCTAAGTGTGTTRGGAGGTTGAAGAAGGAGGAGAGCTCTGCCATTTTTCTCGGGTCGATATCAGGCGAGGTTGAGCACGAGGTATTCGTCAGATGCTTGAGGCTGAACCTCGAGGTAAGCTCGAGGTTGGATTTCTTTCAAGTACCTCGGGTTGACCTCGCGCGAGGTTGAACCCGTGGTATTTGAAAGAAATCCAACCTCGAGCTTACCTCGAGGTTCAGACTAAGCTGAATACATCGGGCATAACCTCGCCCGAGGTCAACCCGAGAAAAATGACTGAAGCTTACAAACGTTGCATATTTTTGTGTAGTCTATATTCTGTGAAATTTCTCGGGCCCGATCTTACCCGAGGTTGTGCCCGAGGAAAATTACAGAATGTAAACTTTGTTAACAGTAATATATATTTTGCCCGAATTATTTAGTGAGTTATTAAACAGTGTTCATTTATGACC